TTGTGTTATAGTTCCTACATTCAATGAGAAAGTGAGAAGTGGTTTTAATGTAACCACAGGAACACAGGCTGGTTTCTGAATCATGATTATTATATAATGATGGTTTAACGAGCTGCATTCGAGTCGAAGACCTGGGGACGCCGTTTGCCGAAGTAATAGTAATCGGGTACCTTAGACTTATACTAGTACCAACTCGTCCATTTATAGTACCTTTGCACAATTTTGCTAGCAAAGGAATAACATTTTTGAAAGCTCGCAATATTTTCCCCAGATACTGTTTGTGTACATAACAAACCTCGTTCATATATAATACGAAAATGAATAAAGGATTTAATCTGTCAAGGTCATTCCCTACAAACATTAGTTTTAGGTCGTTTACGATAAGTTTTGAGATTCTTCGCGTTCTTTTGTCTCATACGTATGAATGCTTCGCTGTTTTTGTATTTGTTAGCAAAAGTATTTCTATGAAATACTGACTTGGTTTAGATACAAACGAACTAATATAGTACCATTATAAGTACACCTGGTTATTGTGACGGGCTCGGCGCTTGTACTTGTTCACTTTTATGCACACAAAACACGTTATCATACGCATTACAAGGCTCAATAGCGAATAACAACCAAGTCTCAAATTTACACGAAATTCCATTCGACATTTGGGTATAGGGAGCGTATTTCACATGAATGCTTTCGAAAACTGGGTGGTGAGGCGTAATCGACACACTTACGAGGCATTTCTCAAAAGACTGGCCAATCTTTTTCTGCAATTCTTATTTTTTTTAAGCTCCTTCGTCTGTCTATATGCTTTAAGCAATGTCATGGTCATATATTCATAGTAACCGCACGTGAAAACCGTTACCTGCTTAATTTTTAGATTTGTTTTTTGTTTATAACTCTTGTAAATCTTACTGGGAATCTATAGTAGGCTCGTCCGATGCATGGCAGGAAAATAGAAAGCTGTATTAGAGTTCGCCTTAAAATATTTTTTTCAGAGCGTGATACCGATCAAGAAACTAAATTGTTATAACGGCCAGTATTTATTTCACGACGTTAAGATTTCAGCGACCTGTTTAAGCCACTAAAACGACGCTACTAGTACACCACACTAGACAAGTATATCACCATACAAATACTGGGTCATACATTGTCAGGGCCATATGTAGTTTGAACTTCCATAGCTGTGATCCATGTAAAGTTTATGCTTCACGACATGTCAATAAATTGACAGAAGTATTTCTAAATATATGATTAAATTATGATACTTTAAACTTTGAATATTCTTAAGTTGATGCATGCGGTCCAACGTAGGCCTTGTTTCCATGACTTGACTTGCAGACATGTCGCGTTTGGAACGAACTCTGAGGTCAGCTATGCTCATGTTTTAGCTCTCAAAGTTTCGATTAAAAGGATTAAGCAAAGCACGTTGGCTGATTTGTACCAGATCGTCCAGAAAAGATGAGAATTAGTACATTTTTTTTATTTTCGTTCGTTCGTCTATTTGCCCCGAAAGACGAGAATTTCTGAATTATTTTCGGGGCGAAAAGACGAACAAGAATTAAGATTAGCTGATTCTTTTCACCCGACGACAGAACGAGTTAACTAGAATTACGGCTTTTTATTTTCGGGCGAAAAGATGAAACAATGAAAAGACGACTTTTCTAACCCCTCTTCCGAATTGACGGGCGTGATTTAATCAATTTAAAAAAACTCTTGTCTTTTTTTCGAGGCGAAAAGACGAAACATCAAGAATTTAAAGTTACAAAATCTCATATATTTTCGCCAACGAAATGACATAAATCAACAAAAAGGGTAAAATGATCGTACGTAGAAAACTGACTGGGCGCCCATGTGTCCCTGTTTAAACAAACTAACGTTAAGTTCCAGGGTTGAGATTTAACACAAAATATATAGAGCCACATTTATGTTACAACAACTATGAAACAAGGTTTTTCAACTTACATGCATGTTAATCACGCTTGCTGGTCCGGATGGAAGCGCGCACAGGGCCTGGAAACCAGACTATCCAGAGAAAACCCACCCAGTTGGGAGGGTGACCACATATTATTTCACGTCCGATTGGGGTGTGGGTTGGGAGTCGGGGAACCCGGCCGTCTTTTTGAAAAGCGAATGCACATCCCACTGCGCCACCTGAAGAAAAATACTGGATCAGAGCTTCAAATTGAACATATTCGGAAATTCATTCTTATATCATGCTAATTAATGATTAAAGCCTTTGATTACAATAATAGGATCATAAAAACTCAAATTTTACAAAAAATCCTATTTCGGCGAGTTGCAAGCTGATCCAGGGTGATGTTATTTATATGCGTTGATACAGGGCGAGCACTTCACTGAGCCTCGACTGGTAAAATCAGTACACATACATAGAAATACGTGTACACGCTGTATTAAAGTTACTAACTTGAATATGCTGGTGGTTCAGAACTAATTTGAATACTGACAAATGATATCGTTCTTCGGGTGAAATATTAAATAAAAGGGGGAAAAGAATGTATATCTTGTGAAAATAAACTAACCTATATCCCAAGCATGACAACTCTTAGAAAATTCCTACAAACTGCATGTGATAAATATAATGTAACGTTGCGGAACCGATGTGTAATTGTATACGGGGTAAGTCTATACGGACAGTGTGTCAGGATGTGTGCTATGCCATCGTGTGTAGTCTCTCGGGAGTTATCCTGTACTCATGGCTTATACGCTGTGGTGTATACATCTGTGATGATCCGTGATATAAAGGACTCAGTCACTGGCGTTTTATAAACATAGCGAGCAGTCGTGTAGAGGTGTGTGCAGCCAGTTGTAAGCAGACGCACGTTGTTGTTATCTGTTTTGCGAGTGTCCAGTCATGGTAAAGGTGTTTTATCGTGTAATATAAAGACACATTCGTATATTTCGCCTGAATCTAACATTCCGGTATATTATAAAGATGACGTCTGTATTTCAAATGACATCCTCGTTCGTCCGCTTTGTGTGGTATGTGTTTGTTATGGACGCATGTGTCTTAAGACTTTGCGTTGGTCATCCTCAGTGTCTGGACTTTCGGCCACCGTTCCAGGCAGGTTCAGCCTTAACTTTCTGTCCCCAGTACTCTACATTCGGGTGTTGCACTGTTGACGATGACCGTCAGCTGATGGCAGACTACGGTGACATTCGGAACAACGTGCCGTCTGCTCTGTGGCGGGAATGTGGTGGCTACCTTAGGGAGTTTTTGTGTCTCAAATGTTCCCCGTATGCAGCTCACATATTTGATGCGGAAGATTCGTTGGTTCCAAGGTCATTCCCGGGACTGTGTAATGGGTATTGCAAATCTTTTCATGCTAAATGTCCAGACATTATTAAATATATGTCCAGGGACCGCTCCTTACTCCAAAGCGTCTCGCAGGGAGCAGACGCCTTTTGCGATCATGTTGGCCTTGCAGACAATGACTACTGCTTTCCAGATTTGGTTAACAATGACCTCCTCAATAGGAAGATCTCGATTGTTCAGGTGACTTCAGAAGGTTGCATCTGTATGGAACAGATTGCCTCGGGACTCAGAAATCCCGTGTTTGCACGGCATGCGGGTGATGGTACTAATCGTCTATTTATTGGAGAAGTCACGGGGCAAGTTCAAATATATTTCCCAAACGGATCGAAAATTCAGGAACCGTTCCTTGATATAGAGGATGATGTGATGAACACCAAGAGCGAAGGCGATGAACGAGGGTTCTTAGGCATGGCTTTCCATCCAAAATTCAAACAAAATAAGAAATTTTATGTTTACTATTCAGCAAGGCAACAACTTGGGATGGGTAATCATGTTACAAAGATAAGTGAAATGAGAGTTTCAGAAGATAATCCAAATAAAGCTGACAGGAGGTCGGAGAGAAATTTACTGACGATAGACGAACCGTACTGGAATCACAATGGAGGGGAGGTGAGTCCGTTTGTTACCTTTACAAGATTGGTTTAGTCGTAAATTGTACTTGTACAAAAATGTTTTGCCTTGCTGTTTTACCAAATACACATTATATAACGATATTGCCATGTATTGAATCACCAAATCTGCCACCAGTTATTGGTAATGCTGTGGTCATCATCACACCAGTCATTGTCAAAGACGTATTACATGGGGTATTTAGAGTTTTAGTATTTGATTATTCTCCACTCTCTAATGTCTTTTATACAGAGGTTTAACTCATTATTTTTCACTCTACAAATGCCTGTTATACAGAGTTTTTACCAATCTGATTAAAATCATATCCTAAGTTCTCTACGTATCACGTTATTACGTTCTCTACGTATCACGTTATTACGTGATAGGTAGAGAAGGTAGGATATGATTTTAATCAGATTGAGGTTTTACTACATTATTTTTCCCTCTACAAATGTCTATTATACAAAGGTTTTACTGCATCATTCC